TTGCGCAGCTACCCTAAGGCAATCTTATGCCTTATCACCCAGGTCTGATGCACACAGAACAGGGACAGGCTGGCAGGGCATGCTTCACAGCAGTGTTTCTGGGCACAGTATTAAAGCAGCATACACATGTCCCAAATAAAATGTCCCAGAACTTTAAGGAACAGACCTAGTTACAGAAAAGGACTTGAGAAACCATAACTTCTGGAAGATTGCAGGCCACTCTATTCTACCCCACTGAGTAAGGAGGTAAAACAAAACTGCCATTTCATTTCAAGTTCTTGTAAAAACCAGGAAGAAAATAAATCCAATTTAAAAAGGTGGGAAAAAAGAAAGACCTTTCAGCTAAAAAAAGTCATGCCTTCAAGCTTTAAAAAAGACATTTACACACAAGCCTGTTTAGTCACTAGACTATGCCCACATGCACTGTGTAAGCAAGAACTACAGGTAGGATTTCCAAAAGTGCTCATCATCAACACAGCTCTACTCTCACTAAATTCAGAAATAAATTCTTAACTGACAACACTAGGAAGATGTTCGATTAACTCTTTGCTAATCCCACTCTGTCTGTTTGCAGTGACTTTTTTCTATAACATTTTAGGGCCTATTCCAAAGCCCAATACCAATAATTTTTAGATCACAACATAATTTAAATATTACTAGCATGGAGCTAAACTGCAGTAAAACTTAACTGTTGTGTGTTTAAAGAATTAAAAGCATAGTGATAAGTAATGTTAATAAAAAAAGAAGAGCCTTCTATGTATCCATAAGAATAAACCTGGCATAAAAAGGAGAGCTTATATGGAAATAAGCAAGCACTTTACATTCCAGTTTTAGTTGGCTCATTTGACTGTGACTCCAGAATCAATTGACTTAAAAAAAAAAAAGAAAAAAAAGAAAAGGTTATAGGGCTTGTTGGTAATTTTCCAGCAAAATAAAGATCCTGTCTAAAACTATTAGGAATGTAACACAACTATTCCCACCCTCTTGTGTTCCCCTCCTTCAGCTTTCTGCCAGGTGCCCCCTCTCCCCATTGAAGTACATTTGAGATTTTATGCTTTGTTTACTACATTCCAAAAGAAACTTGAGTGCTTACAAAGGTGTTTTCAGAAGCTCTTTCTAGGCACAGAGTGCCCCCCACCACACATTTAGTTTGAACAGATGTAGCATTCCTAAGAAGTCCTCAATGGTTAGTCTTTGAAGTCTGGAAGAAGTGTCAGATTTGAAAGCTACATTTCCTACCTAAAAAAAAAAAAAGAAAGAAATCTCCAGGGAGCCTTGATAGAAATAAAAAGCACTCTCTCCAGATCCTTCTCTCACACTATTATGAGATTTTTTTTTTTTTTTTTTTAATTAGAATGGGGACTAAAACTCCAAAGAATTTTCACAGATGATTATACATGCACGTGCAGATAATTCTCTCAGCCGGACTTGTTAACCTTATAGCCAGGGACTGGGATTCTTCTCATAGCAGACCTAAGCTGTTCAAATGCAGACCTGAGAGAAATGAGATGGACCTTGTCAGGAAGAAACACAGTGCAAGAGCCAGTGCAGAAGCAAATGTGATCAGATTTTAGGAAAGGAGACAGAGAAGGAGCAGGGTAGATCCAAGTTGTTCATTAGGAGTGAATTTCCATCCTGACCAGAGGTAAAATGCATGGCCTATGTGCATTCATGGCCCATGCAGGCCTACAGAAGCACTTAAATGACACACAGATTTTATGCTGAGCCTCTCTGCATGGGTGAAGTGCAACCTATTACAGCAAGTTGGAACGGGGCTTCCAGTTTCACATTGGTCTCTCAGACTGCCAGGCCTCCAAGGGCATACTCACACTCAGCCCAGAGATGCAAACAGCTAAAAAAAAATCATTTTTTTAAATAAGAAAGATGTATCCATTTTCAGAATGTGTCCACTGCCCCCTCCACTTGGGGTGACTAGTGCTCCAATGCCCAAAGGGCCCATCAGCCCTCCTTTCAAATCCTTCCTTTGATTTAAGCTGTCTTTCTGTTCAGTTCCCCACCCCTTCCCTCCTAAGACAATGTCCAGGACTTCCTTTGCATTGTCCCAAGCATTTACTTGGTCCTTAAATAACAACAATACTGCTGTCATCCCTGGCCTTCATGCTTTGCCATTTTGGAGCCAGCTGCCGAGAAGTTCCAATTTCCCTTAAATAAGCTCATTACTCCCATATACACAGTAATAGGGTGTATCGAATGCAGGCAAATTCAAGGACATGCCCCCTCATGAATTTCATAGAGTAAGATAAGCCTGTGAAGTTTGTCCTTGGTGGGACACAGTTATTTTGGTTTATCTTCAGCGAAGAGGCTTCCTAGTTTTCCCCACACAGTGAAAATGACTCAAAACTGAGGCACTGAACAGGTTAAAGTTTTCTCTGTCGCGTCTCAGCTCCCTTTCCAGATTAGGGGAACAATGAAGTCTCCATACTCTGTGATATTGCTAATGCTTCCTGTGGGGATAGCAGCGCCTGCTGAAAAGAGGATTATGATTATGGTTTAGGAGAAGCGCGCACTGTACTGCCGCAGGAGGCAGAGAGTTATCAGGAAAGAAACTGAGCTGCCCCCAAACTGTACACATGGGACTACTGCTTGCCTTGGGTTCTGGCTGACAGCTCTACTTCAAATCACACACCCGCTTATCAGACACGATAATGGAACAGCTGAGCCATGAAAAAAAGAGATACAGACAACTTGTATATAACATCTAGTGTTATAGACCATCCCACCACATTCATCTGCATAAAGCAGTAAAGGACAGAACACAGCATAGTACAACCTCAGATGTGGCCACTGACATCATAGTTATGTCTGCTACTTGGGAAAGTCTGCAAAACACTTTTCCCCTGTTGTTAAAACTGGTGCATCCCTACCACTGACAATTATGTGGGGTGTATTAGACATTGTGTCCATTAGACCCGAGCAGAAAAAGCATGCTCAGAATGGATCTAGACAGGGTGTAGCAGCACAGCTACCCCCCACCTCTCCCCTTTCTGACCACATGGCAGGAACAGCAGCCAGGACTTTTTTTAAGTCACAAAAAAGGTAAGAATTCCTCCCCCTTCCTTCCCTTTCTTGCTCAGAGGCACTTCCCCTTCACATTCCTGTCTCCCCTGCCTGCCACTGCTCAAAGGTGTCCACTGTCCATGCAATCCTGGGGATAAGGGGAACTCTAGCCCTGCTCCAGGTTAGCTGCAAAGGAGCTGGGCTTAGCCCAAGACAACAGCAGTGATAGTGGCTGCAGCAGCCAGGCAGGTTTCTCTCTCCCTGCCTGGTCCTCTGGGGTGTTCTCCACCAGCCTGGGAGCAGGTGTGAGAAGGGGGAACCTGCCCACCAGCTGCCAATGCAGCTGCCCCAGGCCGAGCCTCTGCAGCACAGCTGGAGTAGGAGAGGAGCCCCCCATCCCCTGAGATTGCACGGACAGTGGCAGACAAGGGAGGGGAGAATGGTAGGGGAGGGGAGTGGACTTGGGTTCAAACAGGGAGGAAGAGGCCGGTGGTGAAATTCTTATCTTCCTTTAGACTTAAAAATTGTCCCTGACTGCTGCTTCTGTGGCATGATCTGCCTGCTCTTGTTGAGGGGTGTGGAGGAGGAGGCTGGAAGCAGGAGGTGCATCGCTGCCCTTGCACTCCCTGTGTAAAATCTTGGACTTGCTTCTGATCACATTACCTAAAATGCTAGTGGTCCGTCTCCATTAGAGCTTTCAACATTACATGGAGTCGAATCAGCTGCAGTTGCGGCAAAAAAAAGTTCACTAATAGTCTCTAATATAGAGAGGGGCAATAATACAGACAAGAAGAGTAAACTAGGAGATAATGGGTATATCTACACATGCACTTTACTGCCGAGTTGACTAATCAGCTCCGCAGCAAAGCATCACAGTCTACACATGCGCCAGTATTAGGAAGCAGTAAACTAATTAACTCTGCTGTAAGATAGTAGTATCAGGGACAGTTCTCTCTTACAGCAGAGGCATTATGTGTGATCAAAGGCACAGGTAGATGGGGTTTGCTGGTGTAACTTGCACCCAGTCCCCCCAGCCAGCTGCGGGCCAGACTCTTACCTGATCCTTGTGCCCCAGCCAGCCCCTCCACTGCCTGATGCAGCTACCTGAAGCCCAGACCCCCTCCCTCCCTCCCCCACATATCCCCTTCAGCCCAGGGCTGCTGTACCCCTGGCTCAAAGTGCTGCTGTTTTGGATGCACAGGTAGACACTGCTCCCGGGCACAGTTAACTCCAGTTCAAACTGCTTTAGAGTTTATTGCATCACCTTCATTGCACACATAGATGCACCAAATAGATTTCAAGCATACACATCTATCACAAAACTTTTCTATGCAAGACAGATTTCAAGCATGTAAGAATTCTACAGACACCCCACCCTAATTCCCATATGTGCCTTCAATGATGGATTGGCCTGAGTGAATATGGTTGGATTCACCCTCCTAGTCTAATAATCACATTGAGGGTGGAAAGTTTCCACCAGAGGTACTTTCACAATTTACACAGTAAAAACTCAAGGGCCCCTTTCACAGTTATTTATACAATGGTTTCAATCTTAAGCCTCACCTTTCAGATTCTGCTCAAAGGAGTTTTACTGATCCCTTCTAGGTCCATAAAAAGCCAAATAATCATTGCAACACTGTTACTGTGCGATCCCCTTGGATTTTTGAATGTGTAGAAATCAATGGATTCCAACAAGACCCCTACAAATCCATCAGCACCTGCTTCAGCACTAAGTCACAGAGTCATCCCTTGATTTTTGTCCACTTTGCCCATTCCAGCCCAGCCCAGCCCAATAATCACACCAAAATAATAGTAATAGTATCCCAAATGGCTAAGATAACAAAGCAAATCAACAGGTAACACACTCAAGGGGGACTATGAGATGCTGCAAACCCTTAATAAGCCAGGCTCCCTGGCTCCTTGAGCGGGCTAAAGGCTCTTATCCAAACAAGGCTGAATAGTCTTAATTAACCAAAACAAACCTCTTTGCCCAGGCAGTGGTGTGATTCACACAGATATCTCCTATCCTTCACACTGGGGCTGGGCACCAAGCTCTTCCAGATTCCCTCTCTATCCGGTTCTCCTTGCTGTTAATCTCTGGGGAGGAGGAGGAGGAGAAAATAAATAAGAGGAGTTGAAAGATAATGGATTAAACTGGCTTCTGGCTTTTCTACAGGCTACTAAAATAGGATCTTTCCCAACAAACTTTCCAGGCACAGGATACAGGGAAAGATCTGAATCCCATTTGTTCAAACATTTCCGACACTTTCCCATTCCCCAAGAACAAAGAAGGGGAGAAAAATGTTAGAAATAATGGATGAAATAAAGCTGCCGTCTTTCAAATCTTAATCAAGTCGTCACACGGACTCTGAGCCTTGGGAAGGCAAGATTTCAATCTGTCTCTCTGCTTCACATCCAGAGAGAGCTAGCGGAGTAAACCTAGAGTTATGCAAGGGAACTTCAAACCTCAGAGGAGACCGCTTGCTTTATGGTAATAGGGGCCTCAGAGACAGTGACAGTAAATGCTTTGAAGCGTATCTGTTTTAAGAGGATTATGATGATAATTTGATAACAGGTTTTTTGCATATGAATGCAATGAGAGAGAAAGCATCTTTAGCAAAGAGGACAAACAAAGCAGAGGCAGAAAAACAACCTACGAAGTGATTCAAAATATTTGGGGTGCTTTTAAACAAAAGAAATTAAAAGCTGGAGGTTATCAGTTTTGGCAAAAGTGCTCTCCACACTCCACCAGGGTGACAGCTCTCCTAATAAGCCCTCTTGCTTGACATAACATTGGAACTGGCAAGGCAAGCTCCCCCCACACCAACCCCTGACAACAGTTCTTCATCTCCTTCCAGTTTCTGAAGCTCATATAGACCTTGACTGAACCTGGAATGGAGACGTGATACTCAGAGGGATCTTCAGTCACTAATGCAAAGCAGAATATCCTATGGGCTATCCTAAGCTTGTGCCACTGCTGTGACAGAGAATCAATAAGCTGTAAATAGCTGTTGGTCTATATGCCTTTCTTCTAGGCCCCAGATGCACTGTACTGCTGGCTTGAGATGCACTTATATTGGGACATGTGCCTGAGGGCCATGCTTAGGTTCCCTGTTAGGCAGCTCAAGAACAACAGGAAACAAGGAGGAGGCAGCTCAAAACCACAACCTGCTCAGATCCACCCCATAGCCATCTGCATTATCTAACAGCCAGCCTCTGATGTGTAGCAGCAGGAGTGAATGGGTAGGCCTTATTTTGTTGGCAGTGGATGCAGGTGATGGCTTAAAATAGTATTTAAAGGTTTGCTTTTGGGGAATTGACTTGAATATATATATTCATTAGAACGGTTCACGGTGGGCAGCAGGGGCTAACTGATTTCTAAAATCCTGGGTCTCATACAGTTTTCTGAGCTTTCAGAAGCAGACAGGTTGTTTAACACAACAAGGCCAACGGATACACACACAGCCTGGGAAAGTGGAGGCATGTACCACACTGTTCCATAACACAAGATAAAGTGGCACCAGCTTACAAGGCCTCAGAGCAGTGCAGCAGAGTTTTCTGGTTTTAGGGGAACAGACCAAATTAGGACACAAGTAAAGCCCCAAATTAGGATGTGGGCTTGTGATAGGTTTAGGAAATGGGATTTTGTCTGACAACACATGATATGGACAGTGTGATGACCAGAGAGAGAGACCAATCAATGATAGCCACAGATGAAAAGTCATCAGGAGGAGGAAAGACTACAAAAGCAGAGACCTGAGAACAGCAAAGGGCCCAGGTCCTCCTTCCCATCCTCCTCCCTGAGAGGGTCACCCATCTCTGGCCTCTGGGAGGGCTCCCCAAGGCCACTGTGGACAGAGGGCACACCACCAGCCTGTCTCATCCACCCCACTGGGGGGCCCCTTGGCATCCCACCTTCAGGCTGCTGACATCTGACACCTAAGAGAGAACCTCAGGAGTGAAGCCTGAGTCCTGACCAGATGCATCTTAACTCTGATGAGAGCCCTAGGATTGGTAACTATAGAATTGATTGATTGTCTGTATTGTTTATTTTCTGTTATCACTGTGTATCAGTAAATTTGCCTATTATCGAATGGAAAGGTTGGGGGCAGTCTAAGGGTGGGTCATCCCTCCCTCCTCCCTCCCCCTGCCCCAGAAGAAGGCATCTGCCCTCCCGAAACAAGGCATCTGGGTCCTAAATCCAGAGCCAACACCAAGGGGCAGGAGGAAAGCCATATAATCATGGCTTTAGGAAATCTGTGGAGAATGGAAATTATCCTTTGTCCAGTAGTCCTCTAAACTCAGGCTAGTCAGTCGAACTCCTGTCCAACAAGTGAAAAAATGAGAGCAGATCTTCATGCCTGCCTCCCTTTTTGAAGATGCAAACTATGAGCCTGCAAAAAGTATACCCACTATTTTCCACCCGTTGTTAACTGTAAGGGAAAATCCTATTAGTGAAATGGCTAAATATCTGCAGACGTCTCTCTCTGTTGCCCTAAAGATTTCACTTTATCAACTTCCAGATTGCAATTTATACATTTATAAAGCTGATCAATTGCTCTAAGCCTCTCAAAATGCAAGAAAAAATATTACTGTCAAATGTTTATCAGGCCCAGAAGCCTAGGTGAATGTCATACATTAAAGAAATTAAAAAGTCTCCATTCAAGATAGGACTAGAAAGTACATATACTGTATTTTAAAAAGGCTCTAATTAAAGTTTCCTCAATATCAAAATTCAATTTCTTTCAGGTTTTGCAAACACTAACTGCCTTGAGCAGAATACTGACTGCCTGCTTGCAGCCCTTGAGATCAGGTTATTACCAGCCAACTATGAGAAATTTAAATCCAGTATTAAACCTAATTCCCATTTAACCAAATCTTCATTGTGCAGGGAAAGCTGGCTGTGTATGAATTTGTGTGCACGCGCTTTCTGCTGTATGCAGTGATCCATGTCACAAATGCCAGACGCTAAAACTCTTACGCATGTGAAAGACAAATCAGCCCTGGTTTCTAGAAAACGGCAGCAAAGAAGAAAGGGGGATGACAAGTAGGATGGGCCACGGGCAGATCTGGGATTTACTAAAAGTGGATGCAGCACACTGCCCCTCAGAGCATGGAAGGACGAAAGCAAGATGTGATTGGAGCCACCTGGTCAGCAGGGGACATGGAGGAACCAGACCGGGAGCAGTCACATGAGGTGGGGTAGGGGGGCACTCCCGGATGTCACTGCTGCCACTGTTCTCAGCTGACCTGGGGATGAAAGGATAGCAGAGCTGCTCCTGCTCACTCCAGCCGGGGGTGTGGGAAGCAGTTGTGCAGAGAGCTAGGCTTGGCTGGGGACAACAGCAGTGGCATGCTATTTCCTCCTTCTAGACCCTGCTCCCTGCCCTCCTTTCCCTCAGTATTCCCCACTGGCCAAGAGCAGGCACTGGAAAGAGGAACCTAGGCACTGCCGCTGCTTTCTCCATCTGATCTGGGAACTTCACACAGCTGTTCCTTACAGCATGGGGCAAGAGCGCGTCGGTCAGAAGCAGCTCTGCCCCTTCTCCCCTGCCCCCATGCCTGCATCCGCTGGAGAGTGGTGGCAGCACACAGGCTCCTCCTTACAGTGCCTGCTCCCAGCCAGCAGGGGCAGAAAGTAAGTGCTGGAATAAGAAACCTGCAAACCACCACTGCTGGGCATCCCATATAGCCACTCCTTGCAGTCTCTGGTTAGCAGGGTTCAAATTAGGGGGGAGCTTGGGTAGGGCAGAGCCCCCCCATAAGAGATGAGACCCCCCCCGTAAGATCTGAAAATCATAACCTGGGGGGGAGGGTTCTCCGATTTTATCAGGGCATTGTGACAGGCAGCCCAATTTTTTTTTGCAGACCCCCACAAGAGTCAAAGTGTCATTTGAACCCTGCTGGTTAGAGCAGAGCAGGAGTAGTTCCAGGGCTTACAGATTCATAGATGCTAGGGCTTGAAGGAACCTCGGAAGATCATCAAGTCCGACCCCCTGCCCCAGCGGCAGGAAGTCAGCAGGGATCATAGGATCCCAGCAAGATAAATATCTAAATGTCTCTTGAAGGTGTTCAAGGTAAGCACTTGAACCACCTCCAGCGACAGCCTATTCCAAACCTTGGGGGCTCGGACAGTAAAGAAATTCTTCCTTATGTCCAGCCTAAAACAGTTGTGGAGGAGTCTGTGACCATTCAACATTGTCATCCCTTGGGGTGCTCTGGTGAACAGACTTTCCCTCAGATACTGGTGGTCACCCCTGATAAACTTGTAGGTGGCCATCAGATCACCCGAGCCTGCGCTTTTCCAGGCTAAAGAGCCCCATGGCTCCCAGCCTGTTGTTGTAAGGTCTGTTTTCCTGACCTCTGATCATGTGCGTGGCTTTTCTCTGCACTCTCTCAAGCTTCTCTACATCCTTTTTGAATTGTGGAGCCCAAAACTGGACACAGTACTCCAGCTGCGGCCTCACCAAGGCCGAGTACAAGGGGAGAATGACGTCCTGGGATTTACTTGAGAAGCACCTATAGATGCAGGCCAGCGTTTTGCTCGCTTTACTAGCCACAGCGTCATGCTGAGCGCTCACGTTCATCTTGTGGTCAAATCATGACCCCCAATTCCCTTTCATCTGTAGTGCTAACCAGCATAGCACTGCTGAGCCTGTAAGCATGCTGCAGGTTTTTCATTCCAAGGTGGAGAACCTTGCATTTTTTGGAGTTAAACACCATCATGTTCTTGTCTGCCCATTTGCTGAGCCTGTCCAGGTAAGCCTGGATCACCCGCCTATCTTCTGGTGTGGATGCTTTGCCCCAAAGTTTGGTGTCATCTGAACTTGGCCAGTTCGCTTCTGATACCGATGTCTACATCATTAATGAAGATGTTAAATAGTATAGTCCCAAGGCCAGAGCCTTGAGGGACCCCCTGGTCACAGCGCACTACAATGATTGACTTCCATTCATTACCACCTTCTGAGTCCTACCGCAGAGTCAATTCCCCAGCCAGTGGATCATGGTGAGGCTGAAGCCACAGTTAGCCAGTTTTGCCAAGAGGTGATCATGGGACACCAGATTGAAGACTTTTTCAAAGTCAAGATATATGAC